ACGGCGCTTAGGAGTATGCCTTTGAATCGATCTTTAAGAAAGGTACCATCCAAAAATAAGAGTGGTCTATAGCCGTATAAAAAACCATTTATGCAGGCGGCGTAGCATATGAATAACATTGTAAACCTCCCCTTATTTTGTTCAACATGAATATAGCTACCTGGGTTTGTCTTCTTGACCTCTTCTACATACCTAGAAAATTGAAGATTAAGCGTTAGTACCAACATTGAAAAAATAACTATAATCAACGTCACATAAAGGAAATTAGTTTGTCTTTTGTTATATATCATCTTCTATTTACCATCGTAATTGATCGTAGGACTCATGGGCATCACCATATAATTTCTCTTGTGCTCTTTCTTTACCCCACCAAATCTTACTATAATCATAATTTCTCTTGTGCTCTTTCTTTACCCCACCAAATCTTACTATAATCGACCCTAATCCCATACGAGCATAGAAACTCCTTTTGAACGTCAATAGGCCGTATATCCGGTCGAACCTTTAACATGGGTTGTAATTGGGTAGCAATGAATCGCCTTGAGGCTCTAGATTGACCAGCATTATTGCCATGCTGCCCACAACTGTGATTGTCCACAAACCTTTTGATTTCAAGTCTATTATCATTTTTCGGTGGAGAGGCAAATAACATCCACGGACAATTTTTGGCTGCCTTAAACCGACAAAACACTCGAATACGCTTCGGTTCATTCTTCCCAAACTCGTATTCGAATTTTTTTGCCATGGAGTAGTATAGCAAGGCCAATCTTAACTCCTTCGCACTTTCAAATCGTTGTCCCTCACCGGTTAAAGCTGTGTGCCACCAAGCAGGAATCCTCTCTGATCTGCTAATCATGTCATCAATCGTCATGACATCATCTCCGGAAGGATTGTCATTGGGATTCTTATCTGGAACACTTGTGGTCAACAACGCCGACGGGCCACAGTCTACACTTTTTGATTTCAAACTGCACAAATAATAGAAGTATCAACAGATAATAGCAAAAGCTAAAAAGCAAAAACGACAATTGCTTGCTGTTAGAATCAATTAGAACTAAAAGAACTAACAATATAACCATTAGAGCTAACAGTGCATTGATTAGAACTGACATAATAGCTATTAGAACAAACAATATAGCCATTAAAGGTTAGTTCTAATTTAACGAAGTTATTTCTATTTTATAACAAGCTATTTCAAAATTATAACATGTTAGTTCTATTCTGCACAGTGTTAGTTCTATTCTGTAGAGTGTTAGTTCTAATCTGCACAGTGTTAGTTCTATTATGTAGAGTGTTAGTTCTAATCTGCACAGTGTTAGTTCTATTTTGTAAAGTGTTAGTTCTAATCTGCACAGTGTTAGTTCTAATCTGCACAGTGTTAGTTCTATTCTGTAGAGTGTTAGTTCTAATCTGCACAGTGTTAGTTCTATTCTGTAGAGTGTTAGTTCTAATCCCCTACAGTGTTAGTTCTATTCTGTAGCGTGTTAGTTCTAATAATATGCACAGTGTTAGTTCTAATCTGTAGTGTGTTAGTGTCAGTTCTAACTGATGGCTTGTTAGTTCTATTTTATACCTACATTGTCTAATTTATACCACGTTAATTTATACCACGTTATATCTAATTTATAACAATTAGGACTAACAATATGGGAACTATAGTGGAACCAGCAATAACTCTAGTAGAACTAACAAAATAGCGATTAGAACTGACAAATAAAACATTAGAACTCTAGTATGGAGCATAACAAAGAACTGCTTAATGACAAATAAAACATTAGAACTGAAGTCCAGTTAAACCTAGTATAGAACTAACAAGAAGACGATTAGAACTTAAGTTAATTGATTTTACAGTTAACCTACTTGTCTTGTCGGACTTGCTCGTTTTCCTGTTTATTCGAAGAATCATCTCCTTCTTTAAAGGCTTGCACGTGAACCTCTTTCTTTCAGTCCAAGATTGTGGCAATGCTCCACCATAGACGTCAGATCACCATCGTTCTCAATGAGAATTTTTAAGCTTCCAACTGTTTGATCTTCGTATGCCAAAATTAATGACTCGTATGGAAGATCTAACCTCTCTGCCGCATCAAACTTGAGATCCAAGATGGTGGTTGAAGAATTAATCTTCAAGAATACCGCTTTATACTGCGAAGAGACAATGCAGATGATATCTTTTTAGCCATTTTGATCTGAGGAGGAGGAGTAATGGAGAACTAACTAGTTATTGCTCATGATGGAGAGAGTTATGGAGAGAATTTTGGTCTGAGGAGGAGGAGTAATGGAGAACTAACTAGTTATTGCTCATGAGATGGAGTAAAAAAAGGGGGGAAATTCCCTCCATTTTCCCCATCATATCGCATTAATGAGAAGTGACTTCTGTTGTTCGGACCAGGACTCGTCTGGGGAAGAAAGAGAAGGACAGTTTCGATTTTTTTGCAAAATACGATCTGCTTTTAGTATAAAGCTGACGTGGAGGGGGCTTAAAACATTAAAGCTCATTTTTTGGGGCTATTCCACATGGGGCAAAGTACAAGGGGGCTAGTCACACGAAGTTCCCACTTTTGGGGCCTGGACACATTTTTCCCTAAATTCTAACATCTCGAGTTGCCCAATAGGTCACATAATAAAACCGTATTGCTCTCTTATGTGGTACTGAGTTTAATTCTTGTCTATGCCAGCCATAAAAGAAATAAAAATTCTAGCATCTAATTTTGTAGGAAGTACTTCATCCCTTTTTAAGTCATATCGTGTGAATCACGTCACACGCCTATAAAGGGCTAATATGGTAATTACGCAAAGATAATCGAAGTCCTTTGCCTGCTTATAATCAAGCAAATAATACCAAAAAACCTAATCTAAATTATATGCCGTCTTAACCTTAATCCTTCTCTTTATAAAACCCCACAAGGTCCTCTCAATTTCTCTCCCCCTTTAACCGCTTCGAATCAGGATCCATCTCTTTTTGTCGATGGCGCGAATGCCGATGACCTCGCGTCGGCAGTGCGAAGGNCGGCGGAGGTAAAAGATTTGGGGGAGAGACCGGTCAGAGTCTACGCTGATGGGATCTACGATCTGTTCCACTTCGGACACGCTCGAGCCCTAGAGCAGGCCAAAAAATTGTGAGCTTTTGTTTAACCTATTTCTAGAAATTTGGTCTCTTGACGTGAACACGTTTGGAATTGGTGCTGATTAGTGAAACTAGGTGTACAAATTGAGTAGCTTATGTTGGGTTAGTGAAATTAGGCATAGAAATTGATTTTCCTTTTTTTTTTAATTTATCACTAATTTCGGGACAGGCAACATGCAATATAGAATTAAGGGCTGAAGCTTCTTCTATTGATTTTTCTTTCATTTCGTGATGCAATAACAATTTAGACCAAGGCAGGCATTATCAAAATATTGAAGCAGAAAGTAGACTGTTGCATTTATATTTTATCAAGGATTATATTGCTATGCTGTTTATTGATAATTAATGATATTAAATACAAGTGTTTGTAACTCAATATAGAAAGCATCTGTTTACATATTTTGTTATAGTTATTGTTGGACAAATTTTCAAAACCAGCATTTTTTGAATTTTATTCCCAAAAAAAGACTCATTTCAAACTTAATTTCAAAAACCGACACAGTTGGGCTGAAACTGGGTCGGTTTTTGCAAAAAAAAGTTCCCGAACTTCACGGGAGTTGAAGTCCCGTGAAGTTTTTCACGGGACTTCAACTCCCGTGAAGTTTGAGAACTTTTTTTCCAAAAACCGACCCAGTTTCAGCTAACTGGTTCGGTTTTTGAAATTAAGTTTGAAACGGGTCTTTTTTTGGAATTTTTTTGGCAAACAGGTTGGTTTTAAAAATTTGTCCAGTTATTGTTACTAGTATTAGTTGGGGGTAGCTTAGATTATATGAAAGCTAAATTTTTTTAATCCGACCCTCAAATCCCCAGCCAACTTGTGATTATTATTTATGTCTCTCCACATTCATAATTATTCTGCTGTTTAATGTAAATTGTCTCTTAAGCGCCTAGATGTCCACCTGTACACTGGCAAACTCAGTGGATCTCACCTATGGCTTCTCAGTCTAGGGAGTAGGAACATAAAGAGGGAGGGTAGGTGAATAAGTTGAAAATAGAAGATGAAGATAGTATGGTGAAGTGTATCACTTATTCTTTGAAGTTCTCAGTATATTTTTTTCACTGTTAATACAATGTTTAAGCAAGCAAGCGTCTTCCACAGTACCATCATCGCTTCTAATTATATAAGAATGAAATTGTTATAAATGAATTTTGTGTTCCCATCAAACTAAAGTTAGGCCATTAATTACTAGAAGTGTAGAGCATATTATTCTACCTTAGAAAGCAAATATAATGTTCGTAGTACATGGAAACTTTATCTGATTACTCCGTATATACATTGCTGGAAACAAAGTTGCCTCATTTATGTGATTTCTGTAAGGTATATATAGCCAGGCAGAGCCATCTATTCTCCAGTGTGTGATTTGTTTGTTCATTGTTGACCTACTTGATGTGTGTAAATTAATTTTCAAATGTAGGTTATATTCTATATATTAACACCAGCTTTTTCCTGATATGTTCATTTCATGTTCTCCTTAATACTGAAAAACAACTGAACTCTAGACTATTCAAAGTAACTTTAATTTTATTTGGCTCTTTATCTCATAAACAATTTCCAAGGACTACTTTCTAGTCATGCATTTACAATAGTAGAACTGTATCATATAAACAACCATTTTATTAAATTTAATTAGTTATTCCTTATTCCAGATTTCCAAACACCTATTTGCTTGTTGGCTGCTGTAATGATGAAGTCACTCATCGATACAAGGGGAAAACTGTCATGTCCGAGTCTGAGCGCTATGAATCACTCCGTCACTGCAAGTACATTCTGTTCTTTTCTTTTGACTATATGATTGTTTTTATTTGCTTAGTTTGGCACTTCCAAGAGACCGGATTTTTGTACGAAATCTTGTTTCATTGTAAAAATAAATTGTAGTATGTCAACTATTACTAATTTTGCTTGTGTTTCTCTATTTAGCTCTCTTGACTCCATTCTAACCATAAAACTACTGTTCTTGTCTAATAATTTGATTGCAGAAGGTGACAGGAAATATTGTGTATCATAATATGGTTTTCATATATTGTTAACATCTAAAAGTTAACATTGATGAATAATTTAATAGTACACTGTTGGCAAGGGTCCAAAACCGACTGGATTTAGGCAGTAGAGACAGAATAACAAAGCAAATACTCATGTATACAGAATATGAGTGTTTAAATACTTGATGGTGTCATCTTTGATATTATCACTATCAGAGTTGTTGAGGACTTGAAGGATCATATATGTTTCTTTTTGTTGACTTTCATGTTGATGACCTAATTTAAAATTACTAGTGTTTTGCAATATGAAATGTATAATAAGGAATGGCTCATGTGTTTCTATGCATAGGTTAAAAAGGACACATACATGAACAAGTGACGATTTGTAGACCATAAGCTTGCATTCCAACAAATTGTTCTCGTTCTGACCACTTTTTTATCTTATGTTGCACTATGCTTTTAGGCTAATGAGTTAGGAGACAGACAAATGATTGATCTCTGTGATTTACTAGTGCTTAGCTAAGATCAGTATTGTTAAATACTTAAAGTAAAAGGATGTCTTCATCTTGTCGATGTTATGAGATAGGGAATAGTTTGTTGCAACTTAAATTAAATGCCACATGTTTTTACAATTCCCACCATATTGGAGATGCAATTTTCAGATTTACTTTGTAAGTTTTTTTAGTTGAGACGTAATTCTCTAAATTGTTGAATGTTGATTATCGCAGGGGGCGTTCAATTTGTTGACTGTGCGCCCCCCCTGCTGAACTTGTAGTGCCGTATCAACGCCCGGCATACCAGTGTTGTACTGGTTGATGTTGTTTTGCATTTTTCACGAAGTATTATTGTGAATTTATTTCTTTGTTATGATATGCCGGGGATGACTCCCCACTAAATACGTTGTGTGCTTATCCATGTCCTACAAATGATGCATTTCTAGAAATTATTAGGGAACTTAAGAACCTTCCTTTATTTACTAAGCTAATATGCAGAAAATGTAGTGCACTTCCTTCTTTTGCAAAATTATAGACTGCGCAATGTCTACTCTTGAGATTTGTTACATGCATCATATTAATCATTTGGCACAGTGAAATGATTGTGCATCTTAAACATTTGTCGTGTATTTACTTCTGGATCAATTTAGCTAATTTCATCTATTGTTGAAACTGTATTTCCAATATCATCTTCATACAAACTGTCCCGAAGAAGGATTAAAATTTTATTTTCTGACTATAGTTTGGGAAATACAGAAAATGGACTGCATATGATTTATTCTTGTTTTTAGTTAGTTGCAGAAACATTTTTATTGATGTTGGTACTAAAATTATTCTCATTTTCCATCTTAGGTGGGTTGATGAGGTTATTACTGATGCTCCATGGGTCTTAAACCAAGAGTTCATTGACAAGCACAAGATTGACTATGTGGCTCATGATGCCCTCCCGTAAGAATTATCCATTTAAATGTTCAAAGTTTCATCGCTATGCCAAGTCTTGGTTTTCAATTCTGAATGAAATTGTTCCTTCTTGGTAAACATGACTATTTTCTTGTGAGCAGATAAATGTATTGATACGTTATGGTGATAATTTATGGTAGATTGTGCAATTTTAGTTGATGCATAATTTAACTGGACACGTGATCTTGGTATAGAGAGGCAATATCCATTCATCTTTCACTATTAATTTCATCAAGCTGTCTTCCTTGAGGAGTTCGCCTCCAATGCTAAACATCCTTGTTGATATTTAGAAGTTTCTCTGATAAAGGACTTAGCTCTTTGTAACTAGTTAAGGTTATAATGAGGATTTCTTTTCCTTGCTTAACCGAACAAATTTGGCAGGCCATGTGACTGACAATAGTAACTGGTAACAATGGTAGAATGTGCATTTGCTGTAGTCTGGGTACCGACTTTTATGCCCCTATAACTCTATTTGTCAAAATCGCAGGTTATCAGCCATCAACTTTATCTTCTATATGTGAACACTGATAAAAGTACTTAAAAGCGCCTTTTTAGCTGAACTTTCTGACTTCATCCTAACATCTATATGTATTTCACGTTTATTCTTGCTATCCCATGCCACTGCAGTGACTTACAATTATGTCTGTTAATCTTTGTAGATATGCAGATTCAAGTGGAGCTGGGAATGATGTATATGAATTTGTTAGTTCTCTTGATCAAATTGTTTATATGAAACGACTTCCATGATAAAGTTTTTATTTTATTGCAGGAATATTGTAATCAAAATTAAACAATAATCTATTGTAGGTTAAATCCATAGGCAAATTTAAGGAAACAAAGCGTACAGATGGAATATCGACATCAGATGTCATAATGAGGATACTTAAGGACTACAACAAGTATGTTATGCGTAATTTAGCTCGTGGATATTCGAGGAAGGACCTTGGTGTGAGCTATGTCAAGGTAAAATAAAATTTTGATACTAGTGGGGACAATTCTTTGTCTTCGCTGCTGACCTTCTTATGTCTCTTTTTCCAATGCATTTGTTTTGCTAAAAAAATGATTGATGACTGCTGTTTTTTAATTATCAGGAGAAGCAATTAAGGGTAAACATGGGAATCACAAAATTTCGTGAGAAAGTCAAGGACCATCAGCAAAAGGTGAGATCTAAGTTTTTAAGTTTGTAAAGATCAACTACATATATCTAATCATATTGAACTGCTCCAAGTTGATGAAGACTGGTAAGTTTGGAGAACGTGCCCAAATACAGATGATTATCTGAGGGGAAAAAGTAAGATTGGATTCTCCTGTTATCTTCTAGACTCAGTGCAAAAGAAGGATAGAGTTATAGTTAGCAACTTACCATGCTTCCATGCCTATTCAAGAACTTGATGGAATTGGTATCCAGTTATTGGCCATAAGTTGGAGTTATTTTCGTGCGTTTTCATTTGGATGGTTTTGCACTATAAAGATAATGCATATTATAGTCACCAAGTCCCTACAGGCAAACTACACTTGACAAGTGTAGCAAAAACTAGTGAAAGTAAGTTTCATTCAATCAGTCAACTAGTTGGTACTTGGAATAAATTGGCTTTTGCTGTAATTGAATTCCACAAAGTGATGTTGTACATGGTAACAAAGAGCTTTTGCATTCCTTGACATATTTTCCTTGCTAATCCTATTGGAATATCCTAAATTTAGTGGATCAAGCTTCTCTTTGCCTTGGTCACTATTTAAATAGTTGCTATGTTGAAATTGATGACTTCCTTCACGTTATGTTTTGTCAAGACAATCAAGCTGCAAAGTGTTAGTTTTGTTTTTCTCCTATAATATATGTGGGATTAAATACTTTTAATTGGCAATTTTGTTAGACTCTGTACATAGTTATTAGCCATATACTGGCTCACTTTAAACTTGTATTAAACAAAATATTAATACCATATTATTTATTTTAAGCTTTTTTTATCATTGATCTTCATTTGTTCTACACTGTGCGGCATACACAGAATAAAAAAGATGGAGGCCTTTGTCCTTTACTGGTGAGGCTTCTTTTAAATAATTTGTTTCCATTGTGTTAGTAAAACTAATAAGCAAGATGGCAGTATACAGGCAAAATCTTAGAAGGATGTTTTGAGTAATTTTTATGTAGATATTTTTATTGATAATAAGGCTTGATTATGGCTGTAAGCTCATCCAGTCCATTCTTCATGTGTATATGCAGAATTTCTGCAATGCTGTACTTTCTAGCCAGGTATCAGAACATAAGTAGATAAATGATCAATAGTCCTCCTAGTTACTCAGTTTCAGCTCTTTTTTGCGGAGGAGCAAAATAAAAGCTTCAAGCTTGAAGTACTATTAGGGCTCAATCATGGCAATGGCCAGTTCACTTTTGAGTATAGACAATCTCTATAAATTTTGGTGCACGTACAAAAGCTTTGACCGTGGACTTGTATTTTGCAGTTACATACAGTAGCAAAGACTGCTGGAAGTCATCCTAACCTGTGGTTGGAGAATGCTGATCGATGGGTTGTTGGTTTTCTTGCGAAGTTTGAGGAAGGTTGCCATGCTATGGTAAGCTGTAGAATCGAAGCCCTTATCGATAATGAGACCTAGTATTATCAGTGTAGCAATTCTTCTGTATTATCAGCGTACTATAAATTCAACTTCTTCGGTGTTTTCTCTCACAGCCATTAGGGTGTAAAGGACATTAGGTTTCAGAACGAGGACTTTGGTTTAATTTTTCGTTCATGAGTTTTAAATGGTAGAGGTCTATTTTTTTTAAAACATGGGTCTCTGAGATAGTAGTATTAGTGACATCCATTTCAACTTATAATTATCATCTCACTCACGTTTCTTTTGGCTGCAGGAAACTGCAATTAAAGAGGCAATACAGGAGAGTTTGAGGCGGCAATCGAGCCGAGAACTAATTGATCGTTACTTTCCTTATCCTACCATGTAAAAATATGCAAAGCACTCCCCATAAATTTTGTAGATTTGGTAGCTTTTCACAATCAGCTGTTGCTGTTCTCCTTTATTCTTTTTTTGCTTTTCTGTTGCAACGGCATCGGCCCACAAAGTAGGGACGGTGGCAGCAAATATTACTACGCTCTACTTCGTGATTCTTTCTTCAAGAGTTAAATAAAATTTGTTTCTATTTTCATTTTTGTCTGTATCAATCATTGAAGTTGATGATCATTGTTCTGCACTAATCAGTGTGAAATTGATGATCACTTACCCTTTTTTTTTCTCCCAAGTCTCCGATAGAGACTCAATAGAGGAAAAGTGGGTTTATTGAGTACAGCATGTTTGGCATATTATGCTTCATGAGCTTTTTCTTTATTTGAAAGTAATGCTGAAAATGTCGTTTCTGATGGAGTCTTGTAGTGACTCAGAGAGATTCTGTGGTAGGTCAATTAAACTTGCGTAAATCAAACAAAACCAAACAAAACCTGAAGGCTTTACCATGCAACTTCTCTTTTACTGCTATGATTTGAGCACCATATATATTGGGTTGCCATATCCTCTTATTCCCCTGACAGCTGTTTCTGTCCACATGACAACAGCGACGATGTTCAAAAGTATAGATCCCCTTCACATTGATGAAACGAACGTTTCCTCCAATGGCTTTCCCTTCTCCAATCCTCTCTCTTTGGCTTCCCAATGTCACCTACTTCTCCTCCCCGAGACCCCATTTCTCAGTCCCCAGGCCTCGGAAGTCCTCCCGAAACAAACCCATTTGCTCACGTTCGTCCCCGAACAGAAAAATCTCCACCGCTCCCTTCCAAATGCAATCCGATGACGATAACTCACTCCGTCAACAAGTTCTGGTGAGGTCCTCCAGCTCCGATGCCCCCAGAACCACGTTCGGACTCCCAACTGTAAGTTCTTATCGACCCACGCAAAACATTTTTGAGTTCTTGAATTCTGAGTCCTGTCATGTGATTACGTTGCAGGTGGTCGGAGTTCTGCACCTAGCGGTTTCGCTCGGATTGGTTCTCGCGTCGGATTATTTTCTCAAGAAGGCTTTCGCTGCGGCGGCTATAAGGTTCCCCAGCGCGCTTTTCGGGATGTTCTGCGTGTTCACGGTGTTGATGGTGCTGGATTCGGTCGTGCCTGACGCTGCGATGGGGCTGATGGGGTTTTTCGAGCCGGCGACGTTGTTTATTCAGAGATGGTTGCCGCTGTTTTACGTGCCGTCTCTGGTGGTTCTTCCTCTTGCTGTTAGGGACGTTCCCGCTGCTTCGGGGCTTAAGATTTGCTTCATCTTAGGTGTGTCATTTAATTGCCAGACCCTCGTGTTGTTATTTGTTTTTGAATTTGGAGATGAACTTAAAAGATGAGAGCAAACTTGAATTTATTGGCCGGCACCCTTTAAACCCTTTTAGCTTTGGGGTTTTCCGATATTAGTCCCCCAGATCTTTCGTAGTTTAAATTAATTCCCCCAAATCTTAATATTTTGATACTAGTCCCGCCAAATTGTTAAGTGTTTTGGAATTAGTCTCTTTGTTACATTTACAACCCAAATTGTTAACCATGGTTCTCTTTCACATTCTTGTGCAGCTTCAAATTCTGAGAAAATAAAAAAAATTCTTTGCAATATCAACACCCAACTAAACACAAGTTTGAATACATAAGGGTATAATTGCCATTGCAGCCAAAAAATATGAAAGATGAAGAAATATTCCCTCAATTTCAACCAGTTGCTAATCAGAGGAAAGGATTTGAGTGACTACTTTCAAAATATCTAAGATTTGGGGGACTAATGTCGAGGCAACCCTTTCAGCTTTTTAGTATTTCACATGACTGTCAAAACATACAAGTTAGCATAATATAATGTTAATCTATAGTTTTATAATCTTTTTACAAACAACTAAAACTTTCTCTGAATTATTAGAAACAGGTTAGTTTTCGTAAACAACCTGCCAGGAGAAACCACTGGTATTTCCCTTGTCATTGCTTCCATTGCAGTGAGTAGTTTCTGAATATTGCAAAGCCTGCAAGGTCAACCCCAGTGCTTCCCTGAATAACTATAATTTGAAAATTATAACGAAACATTTTTTTTTCTTATGGTAATTGTATTTTTTAGAGCTACAAGAAAGTGGAAATTAAGCCAGATATGCAACTAGAAACATTAGATTTTTTTGGAATGGGCGAGTTTTCCTTGTACTTTAATAAGTCAGAGGAGGGATGAAGGGAGTGTAAAGAATAACGGGCATGCATATAATAATTTTCTGGACAATCAATTTCTACTTTTTCTTGGCTTTTCATTTGCAAAGAATCTAAAGACTCTAGAAGTGTTTTCTTGAAATTTTATTTCTAGTGGAGTATCGATTCTTTCAAAATAACACACTCTGTGTGGTCTTGTTTCCACAGTTGGCGGCTGGTTGGCTTCACTTTCTGTTGCAGGATATACAGCCTTAACCGTGAGGAAAATAGTGAATACCGAAATGATGCCTGCTGAGCCAATGGCTAAACCTTCTCCATTTTCACAAACAGAAGTTTGGGCTTGGAGTGCCATTTTCGTTTCCTCGTTCATTTTAGCCTATGTAAATCCAACAGCGCTTGGTACAAATGCAAGGACATGCCTCCCTTTCTTACTTGCTGCTACAGTCTTAGGATACATGGTTGGCTCAGGGTAATATGCTGCTTTTATTTGTTCGAAAGTAGATTGGGTTAGTTATGGATAGACCCTGTACTGTCGCCCAATTGAGGGTACACCCCCTGTAGTCCTATTGTTGCAGATAGACCTCTTAGTGAAAATTTTATTTCCTCTTTTACCCTCAGAGAAATAGAATTTTTTTTGACGAATAGACCTCCTGAGGGTAAAAGAGTCAAATAGATTTCACTTAAAGGGCTATCTGTATCACTAGAACTACAAGGGTTTATCCACAATTGGGCGATAGTGCAGGGATTCTATCAGCAATTAACCCAAGTAAACATATATAAATATTTTTACTATCGATAGAAATCTTAATAGTCATTTTAATTTTGTTTGGTTTCTTATTAAGGTTACCATCGAACGTGAAGAAAGTATTCCACCCAATTATCTCCTGTGCATTTTCTGCAGATCTAGCAGCAATAGCATATGGGTACATTTCGCAGTCTGGAACGGATGCTGTTCTAGGTTTATAGATCTGTTCCATTATTCTCATTTTCAATGTTGGATTCTTTATGCATATCCTTTAAATGGTTTTATCAAACAGCGTAAATTCTTGCCTGAAGCACCTCAAAAATTTTGGAAGATGCTTGAACTTGATTTTTTTTTGGTTGTGCTAGGACCATTTTGCTACTGCTCAATTTTTTAAGATTTTTTTTCTCGTGAAGCAACTAGAGAATTTGTCATACACAAGCAACCTTACTGTTTGCTTAGTTTGGTTGACGATATACCATATAAAATTGAATTATATAAAATTGAATGGTCATCAATACTAAGGGAAATAAAATGCATGCATCATTTTCATAGAATCTAGAGGGCTAGTTGTGGATACACCACCTATAGCTCTATTGTTGCAGATAGACCCCCTGAGTGATTTTTTTTTACTGTTTTACCCTCCGGATGTCTATTTGTCAATAAACCAAATTATTTTTCTTAGGGTAAAAGAGTCAAAAAAATTCACTTAGGAGGTCTATCTGCAACGATGGAACTATGGGTGGTCAGTCCGCAATCGGGAATAATACAGGGGTCTATCCATAGTTTATCCTAGAATCTATCTTCAGTTATTACCAAATTGAAAGTTTTCTGAAAAGATGTGGAGTTCTTATCTTCATTTAATATAGGCCTACAGAATGTAACGAAATATATCTGCAGGTTCCTACCTTACCAAGGTTTCATCAAATCCAGGAGCTGGTGACATTCTTATGGGCTTTTTAGGATCAGTCATAATTTCATTTGCCTTTTCAATGTTCAAACAAAGAAAGGTACCATTTTTGTTACATAATATTACATCTTTTAAGCTACATGCGTGGATGTAAACCTATTTTCTTCTATCGCCTTTACTCTAGTCGATGTGTAACTTATTTCATACCGAGATTTTTTTGTATGACTTGAGAAGTCTAAATTATCATGGCTAAACGTATTTATTCCTGGTTATTAGCTTGTCAAGAGGCACGCAGCGGAGATTTTCTCATCAGTGATTATCGCAAGTGCGTTCTCTCTGTACTCAACTGCTATCATAGGCCGTGTCGTTGGGCTGGAGCCAACCTTGACCATATCAATATTGCCAAGATGCATAACAGTGGCATTAGCCCTAAGCATTGTATCCTTGTTTGAAGGTATCTTCTTAGTGCTAAATGGACAAACAATAAAATATAGGATAATACCTTGGTTCCAGTTTCTTCACATTTTTCAGCTTTTGCTTTTGTCAGTGTGTAATTTTTGTGAATGGTCTGCTTTGCTTTGGGTTCCAGTTTTGTAATTGATGATTAAAAAGTCAAAAATATAAAATATAAACAAGAACAGCTAGAAATTGTAAGCGTGTAAAGTATTATCTCCTTACAGTTCTCTCATTCTCCCTCGTTACAAACACCATGTTGCAGCTTTTGCTAAAACTCTAGCAGTTTCTTGAAAACTTGCTTCGGATACATAAACATCCTAGAATCTTACTGACCAATAGAAGTGACAACCTGTCAACTTCTAATGTAAGAAAAATATGAAGAATTGATCAATATTTAGGGTTGAAACCAGGTTATGGCCATCGAATTCATCTCTTACTACTGCTGTGGTTTATGTGTGGTTTAGGTGCTAATTCGTCTCTTACTGCTGCTGTGGTTGTTCTGACTGGACTTGTTGGAGCAAATTTTGTGCAAGCAGTCATGGATAAACTCCGCTTAGACGATCCGATTGCTAGAGGAATTGCAACTGCTTCTAGGTACATCCCCATAATTATTTTCTATCCGCCTAATAGACTGTTTCTTATAAAACTGCATGATTTACAAATGCCTCTTTAGAGGATTTTGGAAGTTCTGCTTAGTTATTACAGAAATTTTTTCTCAACTATGGTATATGATCTTATGAGCGCAGGTAACTTAGCCAAAAATTACGCGTATGTGCATGTGAGCATGCATATCTTTTGATACTTACATAATATTTTTCATCAAATATTGGTAACTGATAAAGTGTAATTTTTATTTTCTATTACATATGTTCTTGGTAAGCTGATTGTTGATACAAATTTTTCGTACTAACTTGAGACATTTACCAGCAAGCATCACTTGAACGGTTTTAAATTCTAACTTGATTACGAGCTTAACGGTTCATGACATGATGTTTATGACCAGTGCTCATGGACTGGGGACAGCAGCATTGTCAGCTAAGGAGCCCGAGGCCCTTCCATTTTGCGCTATTGCTTATGCGCTGACTGGAATTTTTGGTTCACTACTTTGCTCTGTGCCAGCAGTGAGGCAAAGTCTGTTGATGATTGTTGGTTGATTCAGATGTTCGTTTGTACTTCTTGTTATTGTCTTGATGACGGAAGAAGCAGATTGGGTTGATCAGTGCAAGAGCAAAACGTGCTCAAAGATCATAACAGAATGCACATATAAACTTGGAGACCGACAAAACTTTCGAGGCACCGTTTGCAACATTATCATGTTATTTATTTTTGACGTCGTAGCGAAAAGAATCATTGTGGTGTGACTGAAACAACCAGTAATTTGATTATGTGCAGAATCTGCAAATGATTAAATATGATAGCATTGCAGGCAGCCGTGGTTGGTTTTGTGCTCTCTATGCGCTGAATATTTAAGGACCGAAGACTAATTGATGAAAATAGATCTGGGATTCTTCTTTATGTATGTGCTGAATGTGTAAAGGATTAAATAGAGAACAATTTTTCAAAACAACCCCATTTAGAGTTTTATTTTTTAAAATCGACCGGTTTTTGTTTTATTTATCAAAACCGACCCGATTTTGTGATTAACCGCCTAATCACCTTCCTAAATAGTCGGGGTTGGCAAACCCGACTATTTAGGACCTTAATTTTTAGTGTTTAAGGCATCTAATCAGGGTTTAACACCCTCCTAAATAGTCGGGGTTGCCAACCCCGACTATTTAGGATGGTGATTAGGCTGCTAATCACAAAATCGGGTCGGTTTTGATAAATAAAACAAAAAATGGTCGATTTTGAAAAATAAAACTCTAAAGGGGTCTGTTTTGAAAAATTGTTCAATAAATGTGAATTGACTGAGTCTGATTAATTCTTTTCTTGTCCCTTAAAAGAAGGGGTTAACTATCTCTTAATCTTCAGAAAGATTTTCATAACCCACAAATCACAAGTTGCTATAAAACTCCACTTCTTTGTCTGCAGAAGTCAACATTAGAATGAGCTTCCCTCTCATGCTAGCTGATAGCTAAGTCCATTTCAACGTGCCTAAAGCGTGCAAAGAAAGTGGGCAAAGCTTTATTTTATTTTTATTTTTTAAATATGAAGACCATCTTTGAAACAGGATTTCCTTTCGTTTTATACGGAAGCTACATTTAAATGAGGTTTCTCTTTCAATCAATCATATTTGACCATTTTCTTTTTTCATTTTATCCTTAATTTCTAGAATACTTGTTATATTAGCAAGGGGGGAACAAATACTGTTAGTTTGGCATTAAGGGTGAAAATAGAAGGGGAAAAAAATTTGGTCCAATGTGGTTGATTGAAAGAGAGGTACTATCTAAAGATGGTTTCGTATAAATTGACATTCAAATATAGTCTACGAATAACCATTAACTAGTGGATGTTAACCAGTCAACGTTAAAGGCGACTTTTATGAAAATAATTTCATTAGTTAACAATTAAAACTCCTCATATGAAGAAATTTTCATTTTTAAACTCAATCCAACTTTTTTTAAAAAAAACCGACCCACTTTGTTTTTATTTCCAGAAATCGACTCACTTTGTGGCCACGTCAGCAACGTGGCCACGAAGCGGGTCGATTTTTTTTAATCTCGTCTCTAAATAGTCGGGGTTGTCAACCCCGACTAATTTTGCTACTGTCAAAATAGTCGGGGCTGGCAACCCCGAGTATGTAGAGATGAGATTAAAAAAAATCGACCCGTTTCGTGTCATGTTGTTGACGTGGCTACGAAGTAGGTCGATTTCCGGAAATAAAAACATAGTGGGTGGATTTTTTTAAAAAAAGTCTTAATGGGTTTAAAACAAAAACTCATATATATCTACCACATTTCACACTTTTGAAATGGCAATTTCCTTTCACAGATACCAATTTAGTGCTCATGTCATATCACATATGGCTTCCTATGATTCTAGATGTAGGGTAATAATGTCCTTGTAAAATACCCAATAATCCTTTGGACAAAGCAACAAAGCACAGTAAAGTATCCAAGAACCACAACTGGCAGCAGTGGAATCAAACCGATCCTTATTTCCTTCAGCTTTAGATTAGCCCTGGAGTGCAACCATGACTTAACCTGTCTCAAAATGGCAGTTTTAGCAATTATTGCAGGAAATGGGGGCCATATTGTTACTCTGAACTATCTCTCATCAATTCAACTGGTCTTAAATGGTAATCGGTGCACTGCCCAACAAAAGAAGTGTTCTTCCTTTTCCTCTGTTTTCCTCTCTGATCTTAGCTAGCCCATATTCATATCTCAATCCAAGCAAATGGATTGAAACTTTAGGTGGAAACTGAAGCGCATGTGAGTTCCTCCCTTCTCCTCTACTTGGATTTTGTTGTTTACTAATTGTTTTGTTGTCATATTTTACAAGTTCATAGTTTGTATGTTTCTCGCTGATCTCGTGACTTTATTGTGAGGTTATTTGTTGCTAGATTTCATGACCCAGATGGGCTTTTCACTGAGAAATCAGTGTGCCTTCTCAAATTCTCATGCTATATCATGTGGGTATTTGAATTTGCGCCTGTGTTTCATTTTTTTTTTCTTGTCAGTTTAATGATATAAGGATTCCCCCCCCTTTATTCCCATGGTGTATTATGTATTTATGTGGTATTTGAATAAGCTTCATAACCCTTTAGTTGGAGGTGGGCAAAAGTTCATTGATGTTTGATTTCATTCCAGGTAATTGGATGTAGCATTAAATTATAGAATTTATCTGTGTTCTTTTGGTAAGAATTCAGTAGGCTTTGTAGACACATTTCTTACTATTTTGGATCTCAATATCTTCAACCCGGATGATATTTGCATGATATGAGGGGTAATTGATGTGCTCTTTGTTCCTCAGATGACTCTCAATATCCCTACTATGTGTGGACTTAGTTCATCTCATGAGCTGAAAAGAAACCAAATCTGAGCATTCACATTGTGATCTTTCAGCTGATATGGAAGGAAAGGGTAGATTTAGTGCGAGGAAATGGGTGTTTTCCGATCAAACAAACCCTTCTAATTTGGCTAGTTCAGTTCCTGAAGGCAATGCTCCTGGGTACCAGCCAAGTTTCCTCAAGATGAGTGCATATACTAACAGAAGCTCAATAGTGAACGAGCCTGATAATGAAGCCTCTTCAATGGAGTTCCCTTGGTTTCCACAGAGAAGTTTCTTCTCTCCCACAAGAGACCCTTCACCTGAACACACAAAAAAGAACAAAGAGATCGAAGCGAAACCTGCTAAGGTCAGAATTGCCACTAAGGCACTAAGGCCTAAAGAACCAAAGAAGCCTCCAGCGAAGAAGAAAGGGACTTCAATTTCAACAGGCAAACGAGAAAAGAGAAATCAAGATGCCACCATTGAGGGTACAACACAGGATTTTTCGGGTGTGCCAGCACCTGTGTGCACGTGTACGGGTGTTTCTCGTCAGTGCTATAGGTGGGGATCCGGTGGCTGGCAATCGTACATGTTGTAACTACGACGATATCGAGCTTCCCGTTCGATGACTCTCAAGCCAGGTGGGCGTCGTATGGATGAAGGAAAATGAGTATCGGCCATAATGTGAACTTTTCAGAGGCTTGCGAGTGAAGGTCGTGATCTTTCTTATGCTGTGGACTTGAAGGATCACTGGGCGAGACATGGTACTAACAAGTTTGTCACGATTAGGTAGCAAATTAAGGGGTATTTCCTTCTGATTGCTGCTCTATTTGCATATTTGATGTGATTAACATCTACGAAACCATCTTAGGACTCTTATATCTGTCTGTTATCTAACCATGTACTGTTGCAACCTGTGGTAGTAAGCTTATATCACGTTCTAGTCTCCTTTTGAGTTATAAGATCAATTTTAAGAAGGATATCAAATCTGTTTTAACACAAAAACACATCAATATGTGCCTGCTGTTTCGATTTCAACTAATCTTAGCTATCATCTATGCGGTGTTGACACATCCCTTGTTTAGATTAGTATACATGTAAAAAATATTCATCTGCTCAGTTTTATATTTGCTTAGAGTTGGCGTCTGTATTTCTCTGGATTGTTTTCCCAGAGGGAGAGGGAGAGGGAGAGGGAGAGGTAGAAATATGGGAAAGGTCTCTTCACTGTTGATATTTGATTCTGAAGTTTATTACTCTATATGCATCATGACATTTCTACATTGATCCCCTTGATTCATTTTCATGCTTTTGCTGCTCTTCTTGCATTTGAATCTCATGTCAATTTGTTTGATCATTATTTACCTTTTTACATGCATACACAATGAAAATTCACATCGCTGCAATTCATGTATTTAGTCATAGGAGAGTATCCATCAACAATGTCAGCTTTTATTATCTTGTGCACTTTAGCCATGGGAGCATTTATCTTGGGTTTTGACTCTTCGGTCTGTATATAATTTAATCATGTATTACGAAGAATAGTTTCTAGTGTGCTTATCAATTTCTGATCTCTGCTGAGTTGCGAACTCGATCTAAGCAGGATATCACAGTATCACAACGCAAAAACGCATCAATATGCATCATTAAGACATACAAGTTCTATTTCAGCCGACACCTTGTTTATCTTCATTATGTTGTGTTGCAACTTCTGTTTCGATTTCAACTAATCTTAGCTATCATCTATGCGGTGTTGACACATCCCTTGTTTAGATTAGTATACATGTAAAAAATATTCATCTGCTCAGTTTTATATTTGCTTAGAGTTGGCGTCTGTATTTCTCTGGATTGTTTTCCCAGAGGGAGAGGGAGAGGGAGAGGGAGAGGTAGAAATATGGGAAAGGTCTCTTCACTGTTGATATTTGATTCTGAAGTTTATTACTCTACATGCATCATGACATTTCTACATTGATCCCCTTGATTCATTTTCATGCTTTTGCTGCTCTTCTTGCATTTGAATCTCATGTCAATTTGTTTGATCATTATTTACCTTTTTACATGCATACACAATGAAAATTCACATCGCTGCAATTCATGTATTTAGTCATAGGAGAGTATCCATCAACAATGTCAGCTTTTATTATCTTGTGCACTTTAGCCATGGGAGCATTTATCTTTGGTTTTGACTCTTCGGTCTGTATATAATTTAACCATGTATTACGAAGAATAGTTTCTAGTGTGCTTATCAATTTCTGATCTCTGCTGAGTTGCGAACTCGATCTAAGCAGGATATCACAGTATCACAACGCAAAAACGCATCAATATGCATCATTAAGACATACAAGTTCTATTTCAGCCGACACCTTGTTTATCTTCATTATGTTGTGTTGCAACTTCTCTGTCTAGATTAGTTATTTGTGTACATATTGATTATGCACTGAGATTTATGTTACGACTGAGGATGTGACTCCATGAATGTGGTCTCCTATCTCCTAATCCTTCTTTGATCTCCAATCAGCAGAATTATTTCTCAGTTTATGTTGTGAAGGTACTATCTTATCTCCATGTCTCTGCGTAGTATGTTATATTGTAAACTTCTAGCCGGTATTTTTTTGGGATATACCCCTAAAAGCAATAGAAAATAAGTGAAAAATATTTATCTCCTCAAATTAGCAGGTAATAATGTCTTTTTATTTTATTTTTTTACCATAGAAATTAGAAAGAAAACAATGCTTTCCAAGGCAAGTGCATTTCTATCAGATAGCAGGTAATAACGTCTGCTTCTGAAGTTTGTTGCTCACCATGCACAAGAAAAGTATAGTTTAAAATTAAAGCCCAGGATCTGACTAGGTTTTTTTTTTGAAGAAGAAGATTGGATGTGTTAAATACATGTTATTGTTTCCTTCTTTTATTTTATTTTACTTTATGTTTTTGAGAATCATCCACATTTTTATGTTAGTTTGTTAATCAAGTCTCTGTTGCATTTTGCTCGATGCTATAGATGTTGGGGATTCGAAACAATCAATCGAACCCTTGCCCTTCCGGACCTTGTGTTGAAAGTAGGAAAGTAGGAATAAACCACAAATAAAGATCTAACCTTGTAAAAACAGTAAAAGAGACGAACACACAGATTTAACGAGGTTCGGCAACGTGCCTACGTCCTCGGGAGCCACACCACACAATCTTTCTATTAATTGAAGAAGAAAATACAAGCTCTCAAACAAGGGGTAAATCTCTCTGAGATTCTCTCTCTTAGCAGTCAAAAAGCTCTCTTTTTGATGTCCTACAAACCCTAAAAACGTTTGGGTATTTATAACAAACCCCAGCCAAACAGGATTCCTACACAGAATAGGAAACAGCGAATCTGCGTCGCGGTCGACCGCTTTGCCAAGGTCGGTCGACCGGTCAGAACGAAATCTGTTTACAGGGTCTCGTGCACATTTGCGGTCGACCGCAGCGGTCACGCCGGTCGACCGACCAGAGTGAAAACTTCTTCTCAGTCTCCTGCAGTGCACGCGGTCGACCGGCTCTGCCACTGCGGTCGACCGCACAGTCTTCTGACTGTTTTCTTCGTCTTTTCGATTGCAGCTTTGGGTCTACACACTTAGACTAACAATCTCCCACTTGGAGACCAAAGCGTCATCAACGAGCTCACCCGAACTCTCCCCTTCTTCGCATGTATCTTTTCCCCCGAAAAATTCTTTCTTCAATCAACATCCCGACGATCGCGCCGATCCTCGTAGTGTGGCTCCGCCTTCGTCTTCTACTCATGAAGGCCAACTGAAGTTGCGCACAACTCCAGTTTCTCAATGGTGACTGCCTTCGTCAACATGTCCGCCGGATTTTGACTCCCCAAAATCTTCATTAAGTGCAACTTTCCGTCCTCGATCAGCGAGCGTATAAAATGGTATTTAACGTCGATGTGCTTCGTTCTGGCATGATATACTGGATTCTTGGCAAGATGTATAGCGCTCTGGCTATCACAATAAAGAACTCCTCTCCCTTGCTTCAGATCCAACTCTTCCAAACACTCGTTCAACCAGATCATCTCCTTGCTTGCTTCAGTCACCGCGACATACTCAGCCTCGGTTGTAGACAAAGTCACAATTTTCTGCAGACGTGAGACCCAGCTCACTGCTGTCGACGCTAAGGTATAAACATACCCCGTGGTGCTTCGCCTCGTATCATGATCACCGGCGAAGTCCGCATCCACGTATCCCTGCAGCACCAACTCCTTCCTCCTGAAACATAGTGGCTTGTTCGTTGTTCCCCTCAAGTACCGCATTATCCACTTTACGGCCTCCCAATGCTGCTTTCCTGGATTGCTTGCAAATCTGCTCACAACTCCCACTGCATGGGCGATGTCCGGCCTCGTGCAAACCATCGCGTACATGAGACTCCCAATGGCCGAAGAATATGGCACCCTGCTCATATGCTCTCTATCTGCATCTGTCTTAGGCGATTGCTCCTCAGATAACTTGAACTGACTTCCAAGGGGTGTGCTAACAACTTTAGCATTCTGCATGTTGAACCTCTGAAGTACCTTCTCAATGTATTCAGCTTGGCTCAAACTCAATGTCCCTTCAGCTTCATCCCTACTGATTCGCATCCCTAGAATCTGCTTCGCTGCACCCAGATCCTTCATTGCAAATTCCTTTGCTAGCTGCCTCTTCAAACTGTTTATCTCTTCTAAACACGGTCCTGCTACCAACATGTCATCAACATATAATAACAAAATAATGAAGCTGGACTCGAACCTTTTGAAATAACAGCAATGATCCGAATTGCATCTTCTGTAGCCATTGTTCTGCATGAAGTTATCAAACTTCTTATACCACTGTCTCGGAGCCTGTTTCAAACCATATAAGCTCTTCTTGAGCTTGCACACCATCTCTTCCTTTCCTTCTTCAATGAAGCCAACAGGCTGCTTCATGTAGATTTCTTCATCCAAGTCACCATGAAGAAAGGCAGTCTTCACATCTAACTGCTCAAGGAAGAGGTCTTCTGCAGCTACCAAACTCAACACCACTCTGATGGTTGTGAGTTTCACAACAGGGGAAAATATCTCCGTGTAGTCCACTCCTTCCCGCTGTTGAAACCCTTTCACTACTAATCTGGCCTTGAATCTCTTGCTTCCATCACTCTCCTGCTTGACCCGGTAGACCCATTTATTGTGCAAGGCTTTCTTCTGTGCAGGTAGCTGGGCTAACTCCCATGTCTCATTAGTGAGTAGAGAATCCATCTCCTCCTGCATCGCATGCTCCCACTGCTGAGATTCACTCACTTGCACTGCCTCTTCATAACACTCCGGCTCTCCGCTATCTGTTAAGAGTAGATAATCAAGTGACGAGAGGTATTTGGGATTTGGTTTGGGTACCCTAGATGACCTCCTAGGCTCCACGCCCTGGGTAGTAGCTTCTGCACCTGTAGTCTCCTCCGTTCTACGGTCAGAACTGACATCGTCGCCCCCATCTGGAAGTTCCTCCAAATCCATGTACTCGGATCCACCTGTATCCGTAGTGCTGCTCCCACTGCTTTGGCTATCCTTGGCATTGTCCCTGTCCTTGTACATCACCTCCTCATTGAATATCACATCCCGGCTCCTGATG